TATACTATGCATCTTTCTTCTGGCACTAAATTGTTATATATACAATCATGAATAAAAGAGAGATTGTAGGTACTGTCTTATATTCTCAAAGTAAGCTTCCCACTAAGCTTTTGGCACGGAAAACAAAACTTTGTTTAGAAACATGAGCGTGTTCTTATGCGTTCAAGTACCTACCTATCATAATATGTAGGTACTTAATCAATTACTGCATAATTTGTTAGAAGTGAATGATGAACCTACTTACTCGCTCTGCAGCTGATTTAGCGATTTCATAATTTCAATGAAAACTCGGAGCAATTTGAAACCATCAAATAGGTAGGTACCTACTTAATCAGCTTTTTTAATAAATCAACAATCAATATACTGGGTGGTGGGTGTTTGTTATACGGGATACTTGATATTAAACCGCTCCTTATTATGTACATAGAACTTGTATACACAGTGGCATGCAATAAATAATTTGATTTTTTACGACGTGGTGCAAATGGATTGACCCAGCTTAACACGTTCTCGGAGAGGCTCAGGCATTACAAAAATAAATGTTAATTCGTAATAACGGTTATAGCATTGCTTACGTAGCTTACAACTGTGGCACAAATTACGTCCACAACCATAATATGTTCTTCAATGAATAAATTATTATGATAACTAGGCTCTGTTCTGAAGGAATGATGTTTTTTCGTTTCAGACTAATACCTACTTATTTGTTTCTTCTACGCCTAGACTAGGACATAAGTTGCTAAAAATGGAAAATGACAGTTACTTACTACTCTAATAGAAGAAGTAGAAGTTTACCTTGTTTTTCGTGAAATTACGAAGTATACGGCTACTTACCTAGTGAGTTCTATGAAGCAAAAAAAAACTTAAAGTGGAAAATAGAACCTGCTTTTTGAAGTCTGATAAAAAAGAGGAACACGATAGTAGAGCTAGCGCTAACCCTCGGCTTTTGAAACAGGCTGAAATATACTTACACCAATAATAAATAAATATTAATTATTTGCGTTAATTTTGTTATTTTGTTTGTAGAAAGCAATCTCCCTGTGAAAAAACCAGTAAGAAGTAGTTTTCTACTGGTCAGTTGAAAAATAATGTAGTCATTATTTTACAATTTTACTGAACTGACAGACTGAAATTCAGGCGGTAAAAGACAATAGCAACAATAGCAAAGTTGAATAATATAAAATTACACAAACTTTAGGTATTGTCTTCTTCTTTTCGTGTCGACAACAATACTACACAGTGTCAGCCCAAAACTGTTTGTTACCTACATAATGTTTTAGTAAAATATAAATACCTATGTGCAGTTACAAAATGACGTAGCTGCAATGCTCATAATACTTGTCATGCTGTTAAAAAAACTATGCGACAGTTAGTTTTTAAGGAAGCATTTATTCATTTTTGTAACATTAAACCTACGTGGTATGTATTGAAGTGTGGATGTTACAGGAAATGTATGAAATCCGTCATTGTATACAATTCCTAGGAATTGTGTATAAGTCCTAAAATCACCCGGAAATGTGTGATGTAAATTATATTAGACACATTTCCTAGGAAAATTACACATTTCCTAAACAGCAATCGGAAATGTAATTAAGATATTTTTTTTACACAAAATTATTTTTATTACCCCAATTTTTGTTCTCCGAAACTTAAATGGCGCTGCCGCGCCGCGGCAGCTGTGTATGTGTAAGGTCGCAAGTCTAACCTAACCTAACCGAGACTTTGTTATCCAGCTACAGGAGTACTAAAAGCTTCATGTCAATAATAGTTTAATAAAAGAGATGTTAAAATTAGGGATTTCCAATACTACAGCGTAATATGCGTGATGCCGAAAGAAAGGTATGCCAATAAATTTTAGGCAAATATTTTTTTCGACCAAAGTATAATAGTGCGAAAACAACTGTCAGGCTAAACAATAATAATTGTGAGTTAAAAGTACCTATCGGCCAATGTGGTTTGGCTAAATGAAATTTAAGGCGTACCGAGGAGGGACACCCGACCACGCGACCGCGCTTGTGCCGCTTAGTTTTATACATTTCCTAGTACAATATTGGAATTCTATAAAATTCCTAGGAAAAGTATACATTTCCTAGGATATGTGCGTATTAAAAAATCTCTGAAGCAATATTTTATACATTTCCTAAATAGCTTCGGAATTGTATATATTTCCTAGGAATAGTATACAATTCCTAGAATTCATACATTTCCTGTAACATGGACACCATTTTAAAACACTATACCTAATTGCTTCCTATAGAGACATTTGCCTCTTGACCTTCATAAAAACTGGTTTTCATAAAATTACCTATTTTTTTATTGAGTTATAGGCCGCGTCTACACTATGTGTTGCTTTACTAGGTGTAAACGGAGCCGCAAACGCTTGAGAACGCCGCAAAATTGCAGGTGGGTAACTGTATTCCAGGGAAATATAATAAGTATTTTTATTTTACTCCAGTTTTAATATCTAGTTACAAATAAATAAATAATGTCAGTGTAATCTTTCAAAGTTTAGAATTTTAAAAAATCCTATTAACTTTGGATACGAATCGCTTAACATGGTAATTTGTTTTATGAACAGATATACATTTTTCAAGAATAACTTTTAAGAAAGACTGATTTGCTATCCTATCATAAGGCAGAAACACTATCAGTTTTGAGTTATGCAGTATATTTATACAGTAGTTAGTTACTTGCTAATGTGCCCCTAGCTTTATAATTAAAACATAGGTAATGGTCGCTCTTTTATATGTTGGTTGCAGTGACATATTTATAAGCATAATAAACAACAGACATGCGAAAATCATGCACACATAGACACACATGAACCTACTGTTCAGAAGTGAATGGTCATCGGTCGGTCTTCGGGGTTTATCATGAGGATCGCAATTAAGTAGATTGATTTCAATAGTTAGACACTGCAATGTGTAATGTGTACTATAGGTGTTTTCTAACATTCTGGGACCTTCATTCAGATCCGGGTTTTCATGTCAAATTGTCCACCGTTTACACAAAATTTAAGGTTAAATATCTAAGAATTTACAGTGTATCTACAAACTATTATAAGTATACAGTCCGCGCTAATAGAAATTGAGTCATATTATATTCAGCTTTATTTGTTTAGGTGCTGCAAACTACTGTTTGCAAGTTTCTAATAAGTTCCTTTATTTATGCTGAATTTATACGTACCTATAGGGGAGAAGTAGGCAAAGTTCCTTGTTTTTTCGTAGTTAAAAGTTATCTTTAATATTTTTAGTACATTAAGTAGTTACTTATAGCATATTCAATAGAAAGTAAGTTGTAGTCTGTCGCCGATGGTTCCGGAATTGCTGAGACGTATTAAACAACCCATTCTCTAATAATTTCCATACTAAAGCGGTAAATAAAACCGGTTGATAAGAGTTACATAAATTAAAGGAGCAGTATTTCTGAAGCACTCGGAATCCATAAAAAAACTATTAGGTAGGTAATTGAATAGTAGGAGAATTTTTCAACAAAATATTGGTAAGTATCGCTCATATTTCAAAATCTAACTGATAAAGACGTAGGTACCTAAGTACCTATAAAAAACTAGTAATTGACATTAATCAAATTTTAAATTTTTACAGCCCAAAGTGAGGTCTTTTTTCAAGTCATTTATTGTATATCGCGTTTATGTTAATCGTTTATTAAGAAATTAAATGTGTTTTTCTTTAAGGATATTTATTGGGCTTTCAAATATGTATCTAACACCAATATTGTTGGGGCACCATGATTGTGTCAGTAGAAACGAGTTTTCCTGTAAAACGTAGGTGGGCCGATTTTTGTGATGACCAGTATATTTAATTCGCCAAGCTGTTAACGGTAAAACACAATTTTATTCCTCCTAAAAGTTGACAGTATTGTTGTACAGGTAGGTATACTAGGTATTGTACACTAGGTATAATTACTTTTTTACTTGCACTCCACCAAATCGATAATACTTATTGATTGCTTTTTTATTGTATTTGTTAACGTTACATTGTGATTAAGTTAAGTGGCTCGCCTTACTTTAGTTTTTATTTTATTTTATGCATAACAAGGCAGGTATTTGACCACAATCGCACCTGATGTTAAGTAGGATGCAGTCTAGGATGGTACATATCTGCCCTGTAAGTGCCTATTCACTCTCGCCTTGAAAAGGCCCGGATTATAGATTATGCTAAGCCTATTACAAAAACCTACTTATATTGTGCTTCTGCCCTCATATAGGTACCTAGTTAGTTACTACCTATCTTGACAGTGTAATGATAATGCTACTTAACTACTAGTATTATTATGTGCATAATATGGTATTAGGTATGACTTACATTGTACCGGTTTATCTGTTTATTGGTTGTAACATTCCGTTACGCAATTCAGTATTATTTAGAGTAAATTTGTTTACTTAATTGGTAATAAGTTCAACTTTGAAGTCCTTAATTATTTCTAAGATTAATTAAATCTCAATCTCGACAAGGGAACAACTATTATAGCAGGTTATTCCAGTCGTTTATTAGTTAGTACCTCAGTTAGTACCTATGTAGTATGTACTCGCGTAATATTGAAGTGAGGATATGATAAATCTAACTCTAACTACATAGTTTAAAACTTTCATGACCACTAACACTCAAATTTTCCGCTATTAACACAATTTAAGTAGATAGGGACCAAGTAGATTAAATATAATAATAAAATTAAATAGGTTCAATAAATGTAACTATGTCAAGTACAGATAACATTTACAAAGGAACATAAAGCTGCACTATTAAATTTTCCCCAAAAAGGGAGCTGTCAAAAATATAAGTAACTAAGCCTACATACTATGTTTACGGTATTTGTAAAATATANAAAAAAAAAAAAAAAAAAAAAAAAAAAAAACATACGGGTCGAATTGAGAACCTCCTCCTTTTTGAAGTCGGTTGAATATAGCACTACTTACTACTCTGTCATCAACGGCGGTAGCAAAAAAAATCTTCGCATGACGTTTGCGTGAATGTCTTTAGCAACACCAGGTAGGTAATTCAATAGGTTCCTTTTTACTTCTACCCACATTTGCTTTTTTTGGGAACCATAAGCGTACCTACATTAGTTAATTGGATTTTTTCGTACATTTAAGTACATTCTCCGCATGCGTTACATCGTTAGAACGTCTTGTAAAACAACTTGGAACTAAGTGGTTAAACTTATAAGTTTTTTGTTTAACTAATCAATATCAGTGATATTTATTTATACATAGTTTGAATAGTTTCACATTTTACTGATTTAGAAAATGGATGTTACTACAATTATTGGTACGCCTGATACATCCCCCAAGGATTATATTCCAACGTACACACCCACACACGTAAGTTGAAGTATTTGATTAATTTTAATACTTAAAATAACATTAATAACTAATATTAAATTAAATACAACATGATATTATACGTTTTAGCCGAATTAATAAACCCACATTATAAGTACCTACCTACCTTTTACATTAATTTCAAAGTTTTCTTTAATGAATTATGTAATTTCCAATTACAATTCATAACTTTTGTTTTTACAGGATTCAGGAAGTTCTAACTTGGCAGCTATTTTTGGGAGAAAATCAGGTAAGAGTAGGTACAGTGCGTGATTAATTTTACGGCAAGTTATACATATTTATTTTATTTGACTAAAGACATAAAATATTCGATGTTAAAATATCAAATAAAATCGGTTGAAAACATGCGAGAAAAAAATTGAAGCAGTTTCCAGGTCAAATTTCGGAAACAATAAATAAAAGCAAAAATATCAAAAAAAGTAGCCCACTCAGGGTCAAATGGGCGAACCCGTATTCTTAAAAAGACCTTACCTATAGGTACATACACCCACGAAGTTTGTCTAACCTTCCGCCAAACACCCTGTATAATTCTTTTGTATGAGTATTTCGAACTCTGTAAAGTATTATTAGAATACCTGCATCGTGGTCGTCGATTTGTGTGGTGATAACGGTAATGGTTTCATGACGAGCCGAATCTCGATTGTATCGGCCTGTCATATGTTTTTTCTATGTCTATAGTGAGTGAAGTGACGCAAGCTAATAAATCTAGGTATACTTTCTCTTGAGAATCAATTTAAAGATTTCCAAAAGTTAGAACATACCTACATCAGGTAATTGTAATATTTTATTAGCTCTATAACAGCCATTTCTCCATAGATGTGAGTTTTTGCAACTATTACAGTTAGGTATTAGGTAGCATTTGAGAACCCAATTAAGTTTCATTGGTTTATCAGAGTCAGCATTCGACCTCAATCCAAATCGAAGATGGTAACCAAGTGAGTGACATTTAACATTTGTCACTTTCAAATTTAGCGACAGGCTTGTTTTTATTGTAGAAACAACTTTTTGCCATTATTGTCAAGGAGGACTACTTAGCTCCACGCCCGCACCTTCCTCATTTTGTTAACAGTTTTTGAAAAAGTAAAAGTGCTGTTTGCAAATATTTCCAAATAAAAATTGCAAAAATAAGCGTAAACCATTGTTTGGTACAAAGGCTTTTTCAGTTTCAACATTTGTATAAATTTTAATAATAATGATGTGACGTGTGCGTTACGCACACGTTTAAAATAGTCGATTATTAATGGTAACATAACTGGTTAAGTATGAACCGGAATGCCACATTGAGGTTTTCTAATCCTAAGAAGGACTCTCCTCAAATTACTGTATCTGTTTCATTTTGCATAGGTATTTATTAAAGAAACAAATAAACCTACCAAAAACTAAGTCCAAATCGAATTCAAAAACAAACTTAAGTTTCCTTCCGATAGCAAAATTTACACTGCAAATCGCACCCTTAGAATGAAAGTGACTTAACTCAAAATTCCTGTTACTCTCGATTTCACCATAAACTTCATGTAAATTATGTATTTATTTCACAATATTTAATGACGCTGTCCTGAAAATAATATTATAGACAGACAGGACAGGGTTTATTAATTGCTTCTTTTGAAGAAAGTACGTACGGATCTCTAAAAATATTTAAAAAAATATTTAAAAAAAATGTTAAAGGTGATTGAACATGCCTAAAATGAAAGGTTGAGCGTTCAACTTTTCATTTCAGGCATGTTAAAACTTTGCAGTTTAAATGCCTCATCAATTTCTTCACTAACTCCCTTGATTTATCATTGTATAAGCGTATAGTCACATCAGAATATATTTTTTCGTGGCATAATAGCATCTATTACAATGAGATAAAATCCCATAATGTATGTTCGCCATAATTCCTTGCCTGAAAGCGTAAAACCTCGAAAATTGTGTCCTTATCTTAAGTGTATTAATGTTTATTTTCCGTAGATGCGTTGAGCGCTGTTAAGCTGGATCCAGCTGTTCTGGAAGCCCAGGTGACTGTCAATGCGACACCAGAACCAGTTCTTCAGAAGTATAGCACTACTCCAAACATTCCGTCAGATGCTAAAGTCGCGAAAGGTAATTAATTAATTACATTTTCCCTATTTTATTATGCAGTGCTTAATAATTTTAATCCCCATTTTAGTAAAACCTTTGCAATACCTCATTTTATTACAAACTAGCTTTCCGCCCCCGCGGCTTCGCGCGCGTGGACTACATTATCTACATATTTTACAGAACCCTATTTTTTTCCAAAATAAAATTTTGCCTATGTTATTCGTGGATAATGTGGCTTTCAAATGGTGAAAGAATTTTTAAAAACGGTCCAGTAGTTTTTGAGCCTATTCATTACAACCAAACAAACAAACAAACAAAGTTTTCCTCTTTATAATATTAGTGTAGACATGCTTGGCAATACTTAATATTCTTTATATTTAATATTTAGGTATTTAGGATAGACTATATTCTAAAGTATCTCATTATAACTCAATTATTTAATTTGTTTGTCTTTCAGAGTTCCTACTTGACTTTACGCGTGTAGGTTATGTATCAATTTATTGGAGGTCTTGACTTATTTAGAAGGAAGTAATCCAAAAATCCCTAATTAGTGTAGGAGCTCTCCATACAGTATTGTATCATTCAATTAATATTTGTACAATTTATCACAATGATTCCAGAAATATACAAGTGCCTATTTCTTAAAAATAAGGCAATGTTCATCATAGTTTCCGTATTTATTGTGCTTTTTGACTTTTCAGATACAAACGCGCAGTCGAAATTGGACTTCAAGGCGATGGTAATGAAGCAGGAAGAAGCGCTTTTATCTCTTACTCCGCAGCAGCTTGAGATGCTCATGCAGTTCACACACACCATGCGAAGGCAGCGACAAGTCCTGCAGAAGCAGCTGGTAAGTCCATATCTGGCTACTTTATAGCTGTACCATCGTATGACCTATGTCGCGTGTTTGTGATTGTACAGGGTGGAATCGATAAGTGTTCTCATTCGATTATTTACATATCAAAAAACTGGTTGCTGGTCTGAAAGTGCTTCATGACCTCTTTCAATCGGTACCAATAACAGGTTACAGAATAAACTGGATCTATCCGAAAATTCACTTATCGTTTCCACCTTGTATACTGCTTAAATCTCTCACTACTCACAAACATCAGGTGTCAAATACCTGCCTTATTCTGCATTGGAATATGACCACACTATACTTTTCGAATAAATGAGACTGGTGTCAGACATGATGCGCTACCACAGTAGTAGTTAGCTCAACTGGTACACACGACACGGGCCTTCCGAAACACGAAATTTTATTTATATTCGGACAATTAAGTTGTTTCAATGCTGCTGTCAATCAAACAGGAAACTGAAAGTATTTTTTCAGTTTATGTGACCCATCTGACGATCGAACCTAGGAAGGACCTTCGGATCGAATTAAACATACAATTGAACTACAGAGGCATTATAGAGACTAGCACAATTTGATGGGAATACTGCTAGAACCTATTTATACCTTTAAAGTACGCTGCAAGAGTTAATAATCAGATTTTTTTATTTCATTTCAGGAATGTTCGTTTTGTAAAAACAAAGGGGAGCCAGTATCTTGGTACTCCTCCCACTGCCTGAAGGACGGGCGCGGTCGCGTCAAGTGCCCGGTGCTCAGAGCCTTCAGATGCCATCTGTGCGGAGCCACGGGTGATCGAGCGCACACCATCAAGTACTGTCCAGATAACATCTTGTTAGACGCAGGTACAAAACTCTTCTCCTAACTTTTATAAGATAACTTCAACATTAAAATTAATCATTTCATCGAAAGAAAAAATGAAAATGAATGAAAAGTAATATTCAACAAAGAGGTGCGCAAAATCATTGAAATGGTACTACATAGTTACTCGTACCATAATAAAACAAGTAGGTGAATAATTTGAGAATAAGTTTAGTGTTATGGTTATTACAGTGCAATGATTCTGAAATGTAAACAATGTATTTTCAGTAGTAACAAGCAACCACAAGGAAGGTAAAATCGATTTCACTTTTTTTCAAGAATTCGTATGTATTCATCCCTTATAAAACGTAGCGCAAATAGTATAGTATATTTTTTATCAGAAAACATCCTGCTTGTGGGTTGATATTTCTCAATTTTATTAGATACAAAAATTCACGAGTTGGCACGTGTATAGGTACATACACAATAGCTTCGTTGTGGTTGTTTGCCTTTTAATATTTTTGAATATAGGTAGGGACTTCTGTTGAACTACAACTAATACAATAGAATCTTAATCCAACCTACGTAAGAAGCGAAGATATTTGCATTTTATTCTTAACTAGCTTTCCGCCCGCGGCTTCGCCTGCGTGGAATTTTGTCTGTCACAGAAAAACTTTATCGCGCGCGTCCCTGTTTCAAAAACCGGGATAAAAACTATCCTATGTTCTTTCCCGGGACTCAAACTATCTCTATGCTAAATTTCATCAAAATCGGTTGCGAGGTTTAAGCGGGAAAGCGTAACAGACAGACAGACAGACAGACAGACAGAGTTACTTTCGCATTTATAATATTAGTTGGGNTTATTCTTAATTTTTGTCGATTTGTCATACTTATTATGGGCAAACTTGGCCTTGCTCATTACGTACGCAACTATTTGTATACAATATGTTAATGTCAACACAATATCACACTCAAAATGTCGACATATCTTTCTAGAAAAATAAGACATCCGGAAGTATTTATTTATCAAGCAGTTTTCTAAGAGAAACATTATCAGTTACCTTAAATAAATGGGATAACCATTCAAAGAAAGCCGAAATTAAAAAATAATGGTCTAAATTTTTATTAAGAATCATTAATACCTATTATATTTATTATTTTTACTTTACCTAAGTACCTATGTACAAAAAGGCATTAAAATAATGTTTTTTTTTTAATTTCAGATTACTGGAGTCGTGGTGGAAGCAACATGTGAAAAAAGTATACACTTGTTATTATTTAAATAAACTTTTTAAAATTAATTTCCGTTCTCTTAATGTACCCACATGAAAATAAAAATATGTGTTTACCTAATAGAATAACACTAGTGTCGTATAAAATGAGCTGTCGGTAACGGAATGTGCCCCATAAGTACACAATACCGAGCAAATTGGACCAATTTTCTGATGCTGAACAAATAGTACCTACTCAAACGTACTCAAAATAACTCCACTGAAATTAGAACTGTGGCATGCGTAAGCAGAATCAATGACATTGGCAAGTAGGTACATATGTAGATATATTTTATTTTCTTTCAGAAAACCAAATACTTACGTAGAAAACATGATTGAGGTCAGACGAAGACGTCGGATGAAAGAATCAGTTTAATAGATTTATGTACGTGTATTTATTATACGTTAATCTTAATCCTTTATATTTTTAGCCATACCCACGTATTTTTGCTAAATTCGGAGGCATGTACCTATCTTATTCACTAATCCAGCAACTTATATACCTACTTAGTGAACAGTTGACCGCACACAATTTTCGTTGCAGAGTACCTCCTATTGACAACAAAATAAGTTGGCACGGTGTTTACCTAGATATGCGGTTGTGTGTACATTTGCTACAACTGTGGTAAGCGGATTATGACAGTCGAGGCAGGATTGCAGTACAAAGTAGTACCAACAAACTGAAGCCGAGGCGTGAGGGCTTAATAGAGCTAAGAGTGTGAACCTATAGCGTGTCATAGAAAGTTTTTCATCATGCCTACTTACTCAATATTAATTTATTAAGGTTCTATAAGGCTAAACTATTAACACTTTTTACACAGAAGAACTCTTTGCTGGACATTTGAAAACAGTAGTAATGATAATGCATAATATGTTTTATGTCTGAAATAAACCTAATATCGTTCTGATAAGAGCCATTTTACAATGTAACGTACTGAAAAAGTTAAATCTGTAATAGCTGTCAAATTAAAAATTGGCGTTGAAAGGCAGAACAGAAAATGAATAATGTTCGGAAATTGTAATATTATTCCACTAGCTGTCCCCGCGGCATTGTACGCGTGAAAATTGGTTTGATATTTTTTCCATATTTATTTAACACATTTTTCGTTTATGCTGCTGTATTCCTATCCTGTATTCCTATAAAAGTACGAGTAAAGCCTAGCCTTCCTCGATAATGGGCTATTCGACACATTTTTTGCTTAAATCGGACCACTGTTCGAGATTAGCGCGTTGAAACTGTTGAAACAAACAATCTCTTCAGCTTTTATAATATTAATAAATTGTATAGATAAAACGTGGTATGGAAACGTGAACAGCTTATCTTCTATTGATGAATAGATATTATGAATACCGATTGTAATAACAAAACTATTATTTCACATCTTTATTACTTGAAATTATGATGTTAGTTAGACTTGGATAAAACTATTAGTTATTCAATACTCATTAATCAATGAGAAATAATAGGAAGTAGATCACGTACACTAGATTTTATGAATGATGATTACAGCATCATTATTTTCATCATCATCAACAGCCCTTTACAGTCTGTGGCGGACTATGAGCCTCCTCCACTGTAGTTAGGTAGTATAGGTTTTGCCATAATCTTCACGCTTGGCAAGCGGGTTGGAGATCATTATTGTCTTCAAGCAGGTAAAAAGAATCAGAGAAAACCTGATTTGGAAGGTTTCCCTAAAATGCATCTTACAAATCCCTACAAAGCAAAATGACGTGGACGGTACCTACATAGGTAATCGATAACTGCGCAGAAGAAAGTGCAAAGCAACAAATAGGTATGTATATCACAGGCATTGAATTACTCAGTTAAAGGTTTTCCGTATTCATAAACGTTGAATTGAACCCTGAATAGGTTACACACGGAACGGAAAACTTCCACGTGCGTGAGCTGTAATGACAAAAAGGGATGGAGTACCTACGTGGACAAGGACAAGTAACACAATCAAACACTCAATCAAATACCTAACTAGCTAAAAAAACAAATTATGGATTAAGCGTGAAAGTAACATTGCTGCTAGGTATATTTTTTATACATTTTGCTGTGGAAAAATACTGAAATGCCTACGTTATGTAATATGTAGCTACAAGAAATAGAACTTATAATCTGAGATTTAATTTACATTTAAAACAATAGCAACAATCAACTCATTATATCCACTTGTTTAAACATTGCCAGCAACTTTATGCAGTGACAATAATAGAAGGATTATTACACCGATCATAGACTTGGCGAATGAACCAGTATTTTTAAAGACTAAGTATCATGATTTGCAACTAAGTACTCGTAGTCTGTACCTCTAGCATAACAACTTTCGTCTTCGAATCGTTTGCGTACTCGATAAAATTTGATAATCAATCTTCGAATTAAACGATACCGTGACAATATTGATTCTCAAAATAAGTTTCGTGCAACCACATCTCATACTAAGTTCACTTTACGACACGTTCACAAGGGCGCTGTTGTAGTTTTCTTACTAAATCTTTTGATGGCGATTCGAGTACGCAAACGATTTGCGTTTTTTCGTGCTAGCCGTACTGTGTACAATTTTCAATATGTCATTTTGAAGAATACGCTTCTATATAAGCAATGTTCCTTGATTGAAACTGGTAGACCTTTTTTTAAGACACGAATAAGATGCCTTAGCTTAATGATTAGTTGAATGTGGTGAGTCGTAAAGGTAGGTAATTCATTGGATCTGGGTTTAGCTTCACATAACCTCAATTTTAGGAAAAAATATAAACTGTAGGTTGTCTGATAGGCTGACGACTCTACAAAAGTTCGTAATAAAATCATTGTTACATCACAATAACAATAAGAAATAAAAAAATTCATTTTAATGAATTGAAACGTAAAACTATTACTAAAATGTATCTGAACCAGTTAAAAAAGAAATTGCCTTGTAAGTTGTGCCACTTTTATATAAACACTTACTGCTTGAATTTATATAAGACCACCTACCTATTAGATTGCATTATGAGCCGGTCCGGATACGGACAGCAAAAAGTGACATTGATTAAATTTTTAATGGCTTTCAACTAACACTGTTCTTACAATGAGAGAAAAGTAATAGCATGCGCAGCACGGCTATCTTATACGGTTGTTGGTCAAAAAATGTTGTTTCACTTCCAACTTCCCTTAGATCCACAATAACCAGCTCCGTGACACCATATCGGTCTACAATTTAATAATGGTTTGTTACTTAAAACTCAACTAACAGTAATACTGACAGATAGGTACTACGTATTTGTCAGTGTCAGCAATTGCACTCTGAAACATAAATTTATGTATATCAATATGGTCATTTTATCCTACCTCAATCCGCTCTCCTGATCACTTTCTTCTCTCCGTCCGATCCTTCCGTTCCGTTTTTTTCTTTCCTTAACCGTTTCCCCGTTTTTACTCGACGAATGGCAACACACAAGCCGTGTAAAGCCAACAAAAGAAAAAAAAAAAACATTTAAAAAAGTAAGCTTCAGCCAAACTAACGCGATCACACGCGATCAGCCGGCGTGCAGCGATGGCAATCAGACTAATGCATTGATCGCCATCGCTGCACGGCGCGCCGGCTGGTCGCGTGTGATCGCGTTGGTTTGACTGAACCCTTAGGAAGCTACACATGAACTAAATACTGATAGACACCGAAACAAGTGGCACATAGGTAGGTATCTAATCTATATATATAAACAGGTATGAATCTAAATAAAAACCTGTCCATTAGGATAACCTCCGGATGTATTGTCCTTGCTTGATCTCAAATATTTATTTTTGCATAAACTAGATTCTATGGAAAGGTCGTTTTCCTTGTAATTATGTTGGTATCTATGCCTTGTCTGGTGTAATCAAATTTTAAGCGTTACAAATCCCAAACTGTGCGAGCATTAGGTTATAAATACGTACGTGTAGGTTAGATAAAAATGTGTTGCGCCCGGTCATTGACCCGGCACCGCAACTCGCCGCCATTTTGGGGTAGGTCACGGCGCGGGAAACGATTGTTCCATTGCATGCATGTTTATTTCGTGAAACCTACCTACGACACGACACCTGCGTGGCCCCATGATCTTGAACCTCGCAACTTGTTAACTGCCTCCAAACACGCATCTAAGGGCACGTACCTATTCGCTAATAACAAATCTCGATGGTTACAANGGTTACAACATTCATAACAATATTAATTAGGTAACCACGAAGGTCGTAATAAAAACTGACGGTCATCATTTGATTGGCATGTTGCTATGAAACCAGTTTTTTTATGGTTGATTTTTAGTACGTATTTTATTAATAACTAGCTTTCCGCCTGCGGCTTCGTCTAGGGATTTCCCGAAAATTATTAGAATTTTTCTCGCTGTAAAAACCTTCCTTGGACTTCAACGAACAATAAAAAAAAGAATTGGTAAAATTGGTCCAAGTCCAAGCGTTGTTGAGTTATGCGCTTACATTTTGCGATTCATTTTTATAAATTATAGATGTGGCCATATCGAATAACATTAATGGAAATACCATAAGTTGTTAAATAATCCTGATGGCTCAACAGCTAGCCAGAGAACTAATTAATTTATCTTAAAGATGTAGGTACATAGCATTGAATTAATTAACTTTAATCTAAACTTGTTTTCAGTAACATTTGTGTCTACGAGAAAAAAATGTAGCTCTACCTACTACTTTCTTTTATCCATTCTCCGTAGCATAAGACATATTCAGTAGCTATTCCCGTAGTCTTTCTTCTAAGAAATTTTCTGTAGCATTCACTTAATCCGTAGACTTGACTACGACATGTCCTGTAGCTGTAGCAATCCGTATAATCCGTAGCAGTCCGTAGCCTTCTACGACATCTGTAGCCATTCAAATTCTGTAGCTTCCTACGTCTACGACATCTTCTGTAAGTAGTCGTTCTACGAAATAACCTTCTCTAGCCTTTGGACGCCGGATATTGGTTTTTGTATGTAAGTACGACATAATAGATCCCGCTGGCTACATTAATATATGTATTGTGGTAACGACGG